GCAGGAACCCAAACCTCTATGCCTGAAATGTCTAAGCAGCTAAAGATGGCTGCAGGGCAGGGGAATCCAAACAGCTGTAGGTGAGATCTGGAGGCTACTGAGCAGGATGCTGGGATGCTCTGTGTTTTGAGACCAGCTTTGGTCAGGGACATGTGAGGCTGAGACCTATGAACCCAGGGTCTAGGCAATGGACCTGGGGTGAGGGGGCATAGCCAGATCAAAAGGGCCAAAGCTGGGAAGGCTGAAGCCCAGGTAAGGGTTTTAGGGGCTTGAGAGGCCCAGAGTTGATTTGGGACTTGGAGGTCCACTCCAAGCGTCAACTGTCATTTGTGAGTCATGGGCATGGCTATAACATGACTGGAGGCCATAATATAGCCCCTACGGCATGGCTAGGACCATCTTAAAGGAGAAGTGCACCCTGTAGAGTTTGGGCAGAGTAGTCCTGAGGATTGAAGTAAAAGGAAAGTAACCTCTGGGGTTAGAAAAAGAGAAGATGCCTAAGGAGTGGCTACCCTGTCCTATGGAGGCAGCCTCCCCTTTAAGATGTTAAGATCAAGTCGAGGCAGGTGAGGCAGGAGGTGGAAGAGGCCAGGAAGAAGTTGCAGGTGAGTCAGATCACTAGGGGGCATCCAAGAAGGTTGGATACCCCAAGCCTGTTACAGTAGCATACATATAGAGGCTAGGGACAGAAGTGACATATAAACTGGTTTAAGTGATCACAAACTAGTTTAAACTTGTAACAGAACAGAAGTTTAGTGCATGTAAACTGCTTTCAAAATGGCCAAAACCAATTTAAGATAAACCTGGTTGGGTGTAGTTTCAGACTTAACTGATTTAGGTCAAACTGTTTTATGGAACTTCTGCCACAGATCCCTTCCTGGTTCAAGTTAACTCACAGTCTCCCAGCATCTCAGAATGCTTTGCAGCCCCGGGCTATGCTGTCTGCTCCAGTAGAGCAGGGACTGTCTCACCCCTCTGTTGCTTAGCCTGCATCCTGCCTGTGTCCATCAGCCCATAGAGATGGGGTGGGATGGACAGGGGAGCAGACCCCCACGCCCTCCTAGCTACAGAACATGGGGGGAAGGAAAGCCCTTGTGGTGGGGGCTTTTCAACCCTCAGCAGCCCTCCTTGTCCCACTTCTCAGCTGTTGATTGCTTCAGCCGCTGCCACAGGAGGGAGAGAGAAGTCCTCTGGGCTGGGTGCCTAACTATGCTGCCCAGTGTGGGAGCACTGGTGAACCCCCACCTTGGGGGGTTTTCCCCTACCTCAGCCTCGGGTCTCCCAGCTCAGGCAGCTGAGGGAGATGAAGGGAATTATTCCCTTCCCAAGACCCAGAGCTGCTTGCCTTAGGCCCTACGAATCTCAGGCAGCCTCAGGGAGTAGAGAGAAATTCTCTTGCTCCTCCACAGCCAGTTTTGCCTCAGCTGCTGCAAGTCTGAGGCAAAACTAGTGCAGGAGAGTGGAAGAATTCCCTTCCAGTCCCTGAGGCTGCCCCAGGCTAGCCCTGAGACTTGCAGGGTCTAAGGCAAGCAGCTCAGGGGTTCAGGAGAGGACAGCATGGGGTTGGGGACACTTGGCTGGGCTAGCAGTGGCAATGGCCAGCAGGCTGGGAGATGCACTCTAGTGCCCCTGCCTAGTGGCCTGGGTCAGTGCAAGCCTCCCCCTGCCTTTCCCAATTGAAAACTGAATGTCTGTTCAGTTGGTTATTGGTTCAACCTATGCAGCTTAGAGGAAGCTGCCTAGTTTGAATCGCAGCTTAGAGGAAGCAGCCTCGGGCTTTTTGACTGTCTGTACTTAGCCATATTGGCGTCAGTCTCTTTAAAAAATGTTTTCTGTATAGTAGTGGAGCCAGATCTGGATCACAGGGGATCCTTCTTAGCATCTACAGTAGCGCAGTCACAGGGGCAGAGACACAGATTGGGCAGCAGCACCAGTGTGGATCAAGTGGTGGCAGCAATGCAGATGAGGCAGCAGCAGGTCCAGTGAGGGTTGCGTCTGCATGGTCCTCCCTTACCCCCTGCCTCTGACAGCAACTAGCCCAGCCTCCCAACTTCCAGTAGCCCACTAGACTGCCATTGGTCCAAATGACACAGATCCTCAAAAAAGATCCAGCTTGTGGGCTAGATGTTTGACAATCCTGATATATAGCATATTAGAATGATTTTTTTTCTGTTGCTTAAAAGCATAGACACTGCATTCTTTCCAGTTCTGAAAATACAATAGCCCAATGTGACCATGGTGTTTTAACGGAGCATCTGGTGACCATAGTTTTATTGCACATCTTGGAAGAAGCCTATGTTTAGGCACACATTTGGGACGTTAAAGGCAAGATTTGGTGAGAGTTGCTATTAGAAGGCTTTTTGAAAACAGAGAGCCTCAGTTTTCAATAGGAAAAGGGTCTGCCATATCTTCTCTTCCACAAAAGAAAGTATTAAAAAAAATCATTTTTGAAATCATTCTCTACTGTATTCACCAGGCACCTCATTCTCTTCTGTATTACTCCATTTTTACCCCACCGTCATAACTACATATAATTATTTGCTAAAAGTCATATATAGGGCCATTAATGTCAAAGATAGAAATAGTCCCCTTTATTATTTCTTTCAGTCCTGTCTCACTGAGTCCACAGCTGGAATGCTTCTATAGTCCTGGTTAAATGTGCATGTCCAAGTGGAACAAGGCATATAAGATAATTTTAGAAGCTCTAGAGAAATAGAGATTTTTTTATACTGACATTAAGAATATCACATGCTTCTGGAGGTTAATGGAAAAAAACCCCACAGGCCAAATGGTTTATTTTGGAGAAGGAAAATGAGAGGTAAGACTGAAGATTGGGGAAGTTGAGGCAAAACAGGGGTCAAGAAATAAAAGGATGGAATTTTGTAGAAGGGAGAATGGTTCTTAGAATTGTACAACCCTGCACTTGCTTCCATGTCTGCTTTCATCTGCCACCCTACACTCATGCCTCTGCTTAACCTGTCTCACTCAGCTACTCTCTTTTGTCATCTTCCATTCTTTCACTGATTTCTGATCAGCCTCCCTCCTACACTAAGCTTATTTTACCTGCCCAGAATTTATTTCTGTTGGCTAGAAATTACCACACTTCTCTCCTTTCACTAGCATCTTTTCAAAATAAACAAACATGCAAATATGTGTGTGGGCTTTGATTTCAGCCTAACAATTTGAACATTATCATAGTTTATTGAAACTCTCACCACACCCTTCTTTCCCATCATTCTATACATTTCCTATCATTCCCTATGTTGGTCATGGAAATTGCTAAATCTCATGAGAGAGGCTGCGTACTGCCAGCACACATTATTTTATTCAATCAACCCTTTAGATTGTATGTTTTCCAGGTCAGGAAGCATTTACACTTTCATTTCTGTAAAGCACTAAATGAATACATTATACCAGTTATGCTGTAGCTTGACTATGAAAAAGTAATTAGGAGCAGCATATACAGGGGACATGTGTTTGAGTTAATATCTTCTTGTGCTCACTACAAAGTTTAAGTAAGTCTGCACATCTGTCTTCTGTGCCTACTAAAGCTACTGCTGGCTGGACTCTTCTTTTTATCTGTTTAGTTCTGGGAAGGTCATATTCTAGTTTATTACCTGAAAAAAAAAAGAAATATTGGCATGATACTTAACAAACAGTGCTATCAGAGGTGTAGAGAAAAGAGGAGAATTACTTGTCGATCTCTTATTCCCTTGGGACTTCTTCAGAAAAAGGACATCAGAGATACCATTTGAATTAAACTAAACTAAAACATATGTGCAATATTGTGACAACAGAACAAGGAAATAAAATCTTGAAATATGATTTGTCTAGAACAGTTGGTATGGAAATCCAAACTTAAAAAAAAAAAGTTCTTATGAAGGAAAACTGAGGTTAATCTGAAGAAAGGAAATTAAATAAAATAGTTTGGCTGGTGGCATACTACAACAAAGGTCTGCCTTTATTTTTCCTGGTCACTTGATTTGCCTCTGTGCCTGTTGTTTCAACAAATGAATACAGTAGATTTTCTGTTTCATGCTTCTTCCTTTATTCTGGATAACTACCTGCATCTCACACATACCAGCATTTTACACATATGTATACACATTTTCTTTACTGAACTTATGTTTTTATTTCTGTTTTCATTAATCAATTTCCTGGGTTTCCCTTTCTCTGTTGGAAGAGTTTTAAAAATCATATTATTCATCAATATTTTTATTCTTATGATTATTTAATATGAAATTACATGTTTGATAAACCGTTAAATTGTTTGACACTTTAATATCATAATTATATTAAATGATTATTAATAATGATGATAAAAGTTGCAGCATAATTGCTTGCTTGTAATTTTCTAATGCCTTTTTGTTTGCCACTCAGGTGTTAGATAGTTGTCAGTGCCTGAAAATTTTGTTTTTGGAGGGATGAGGAAAATTCTTTCTCCTGCCTCCCCTTCACCTCTCCCCTTTTTTTAGTAGTTGCCTAACATGGAGAAAATGCATGTATCTGCTGTAAAAGTATTGTAGCCTGCTGTAAAAACAACACTTGAGATTTGACTGCTGAGATTTTTAAAATTTGGCATGAACATAGTTTGATTTTTGCTAATATAATCATATTTTATTGAATTAACTCAGGGGGTGGACATATGTAACAGTTATATTGGTTTCAAGTCCTGTTTCATGCAGGCTTAAAGCTAGTCATTTTGCTCAGGTATACCATTATAGGAACATGAAAACCGTTAAACAGGAATATTTGATATAGGCTTGCAAGTAGCAAATCTCTTTAGAGTTGAGAATTAAATTTGTTCACAGCTTCAAAAACATTTTAAAGTTCTTTGTTGAACAGTTTTATTAAAAATTTGGCAAGGCTTTTAAAGTTCATGCTTAAATTTAAGTATATATTTCAGCATCCTTATGGACAAGTGTTTAGTGCTTATATATTTTACTGTGTGTAAACCAAAGCACTCAGTACTTTGCAAGAATTAATGTAACTTGGTTCTGATATATTTTTAGCATTTAGGTAAGAGTCTAGTTCATAGACTGGCTTTGATTTTCTTGTTGGAAACCTAATATGCTGTTATAGAACTGACCCCTCAAACATGTAGAGTTCAACATAGAACGATATCCAAAATATTAAATTGTATAAGTCAACAAAATCAATAAAAATATCCTATGATTCTGTAAGGGCCGTGGCAGATGTTACACTTAAATCATGATTAACCAGTTATTCATGTCTTAAGTAGCAGCCCAGCCACACATTCAAGCAATTAATATATGATAAAATGGAATAAGCCACAAAATACGTGTAATAATTTTGTGGCTGGTTCCCATGACGGCTTAAATTGAATATGTTGTCAGTGCACTCCCAGCTTTGGGAGCTCAATAGAGCCATTCAGTACAGTGTAGCACTCATGAGGCTGGGAGTGCCAGTCAGCTGATGGGCTCTTCCACCCATAGAAATACTGAGCACTTACCTTGCTCCTTTCCAGTGCAGGGGAGCCAGGATCATGATCCCAGGCCCCTACATTGGCAATAGGTTGAGACTGGGATCTGATCTCACAATTGTTCCTCCTGCCATGCACATGTGGCATGCCAGGAAGCATGATTGCTGAGATCGGGAATCAGATCCTCTCATGCCTTTAAAAGAATGTCTTTCAGTGGCCTAAGTTTCTGTTATGTTTTGTAGAATTTTCTCATGGTGCTTTTACACTTCACTCATGGCTGGAATTATATAAATGTATCAATTGGTAGCAAACATTGTGAATTAATAAAAAAACTTTACCTGTAATATGCACACAGAAATTAACCCTTCAACTAACCCTCCATTTTTAAATGGAATCTGGTAGCTAGTATTTCAAAAAACTTACAAGGTTATGCCTGAATGCTGAGCTGCTGAAGAACAGAGAGCTTGAAGTGCTGATTCTGCACAGCCAGGGGGGCCCTGGTACACACGTCTCAGCATGTTCCATAGTCTCCCTCAGTCTTCCTGGACACAGAATGGCAGCAGTGCACAGGGCCGAATGGATTGGCTGACCCAGACGCTTCATCAGCCTGGATGTTTCTACATGTGCTCTGTGAGTGGGGGAGTGCTTTAATTAGAGCACCTCTGAGAGTTGCTTTAATTAAAGAGCCTGGAGCATCTCATGTATCAGCATCCCCACGCTTAAAAATGGTGGCAAGGTCACTTTAACTAAAGCTCATCTAATGAGCTTTAGTCAAAGTACCCCATCTCCTATTTATAAGTGCAGGGATGCTGATAAATGAGACGCTGGAGTCTGCTGGAGCACGGTAATTACCACGCTTTAGCAGACTCAATTAATCAAGCCTGCTTCAACACGCTATAATTACAGCACATTGGAGCTGCTTCATTGCTCATGTATAGATACCTCCTGTCTCCCTTCAGCACAATTTGGGATTGTGACGTGGGTGTATTCTGCTCCCTGTTTGCCTGGAGCACCAGAGTCCAGCAAGTGACGTACTTCTTGGGGAGGAAAGCACCTTGGGATGTTGGAGGGCAGTGCTTTGGCTTCTTTGAGGAGAGAACGTTTTCAGACATTTGCTCTCTCAAGAGAAACTCTCTCTGGAATTTTTTAACCCTGATTATTCCCAAGTTATTTTTCTTCTGGAGCAGCCATTTTTACTCTGGGAGAAAAAATCCTAAACGTCTGTACATCTGTGGTTTCTCCTGGGAGATGAGCGATCCTCCCAGGAGAAACCAAGTGTCTGTACATGGCCTTTGGTTGCAATACTAGCATGAACATAAGTCTCTGTAACCTAGATATTATATGTAATGCTTTGGATTTATTTTCAGATGCACATCAATGGAACCACTGCTCCTGAATTTTCCCGCCAGCTGATGGCTTACACAAGAGGTGCTTCCAACTTTGCAGATAAAATGGATATTATATATTTAGCTTTCATAATGGAAAAATTAATAGGCTTCATGGATGAAGTTGAAGATGTAAGATACTAAATTGTCTAATATATTCATTCAAAAGCATGTACTTTACTTTTTGACATGGTGTTTTTTTAATGTATTCTGGCATACATTGCAACACAGCATCTAACATTTCTTACTGCACTTGTGAATTTATATGCTCTGAATATTCAGCAGTGTGTTTCTTCATGCCTAAGAGGAGGTTTGTGCCTTCCCATCTGACTGGCAGAGCCATTGCTGCTTTGAAACAAAATATTGTACTTCAGAATGCAAACCGTTTACTTTATTTTGAGTCATTTAAAAATATACAGTGGATAATATATCAGAACTCCAGATGCTTTCCCATCTGGATGTTCGCTTAACTGTCTGTGTGTCACAAATGCTTATTCTGTTTCTTCTGTACCATCAACAGAATAGGTATGGAAGATGTTTTCACTAAAGTTTTGAGGAGCTAAAAATGTATTTCTTGTTATATGAAGATGAGAAAATGCTTCTTTCAAAGGATAACTTTCTATAGAAGCTTTTAGCACAATGGATGACAGTTACAAGGAAATTTAATAAAAAGTTATGGAAACCTCAAGGGGAAAATAGCTTTTTTTATATATAGAGAACAGCAAGGATATTCATAATAGTTTTCAATGTTAATTTTCAGAGTAACTACTTGCATAAAGATTTCTTAACCTGTAACTTTTGCATACATGCTAGTTAGAGTTAAAACATTTGTTTTCTTTAAGTTTCATGATTTTCATTTCTTTCTGGCTTTGGGGTTTGTGATAGTTAATATTTTAGTACCACTTTAATAATGCCTCCAACTTTAATTTCATCATCATATGCCAGACCTAAAGTGCATACCAAATGCTCTCCAAGAGTCATATTTCAAAGCTACAACTGCATTTTAGCTTCTTGGCTCAAAATCCCAATATGATGATGTTGCTTTTAACACAGTGTGAGAATTTACCATCTGAGTAGAAAAATTCCTATTAATAATTATAGTTCCCTCCCTTTATTCTATTTTGGTTCTGATACTGACAGTTTATACATTATTTGCTACATAAGCAAGCACCACTTCATATCTCCTTATGGGCATCCCTATCCTTCCTTATGAAGGAGCTTCTAGTCCTATACACTATTCAAGTATCCACACAATTCCACCCTTCTTCCCTGATAATCCATGCCAATTATGTCCCAATCCCTCACACTACATACCATTTCCATCCTCTCTGCTAATGGCTCCCTTTGTTTCCTTCTCCCACTTTCAGCCTCAGTTTGTTTCATGTTGCTTCCTGGGCTTGGAAATGCTTCTAACTTCCAGGTTTACTAATCAGCTTCATCTCTTTCAAATCCCTCATTACCACCCTGATTTTACCTATTTATATATTCCTGAACTGTTGTCTTTTTGCCATGCAATCCAAGTGACAAGCGCCTTATCCATATGTGGAAGTTGCACTGATTTTGCTAAAAATTGCTTTAAAATAATGCAGTCTTCTGTACGGACATACCCACACAGTTAAATTTGAAGCAATAAATTCCAGAGTAGTTTGAGCCAGAGTAAACCACTTCCAGGTGCAGCATCTACATGTGCACCCAGGACAGCACCAATGTGAGCCAGGGCAGAACAGTTTACACCAGGGTCACTTCTGCCTTGCTTGGCCTGGGCTGTCAGGAGGCACCAGAAGTCAGCCCCAGCCTCTGGATGGTGGTTTTGGGTGGCAGAGGGGCTGACTGGGGCACAAGGGTGCTGGCTGGGCTGACTGGGTGCAATTTACACCTGTGGTCAGCATCTACACATGGGTTTAATCACACTTAGGGTGCAGACACAAGTGCAGCTCCCAGCTGTAACTCAGGATGATTTCTGCAAAGAGTTCTGAGTTACAACGTTATCCCAGACCAAACAGAAGTTCACTATTGGTTCTAGTGGGGAGGGGAATCTAGTGCCTGACTGAAATCCTGCAGCCAAATTTCCATAGCAATGGTTAAGGTTCTCTGCCACTGCTTGCTATTTTCAGAATGGGAGGGGGGAAAGGTAGTCGAGGGAGCTCATTCTTGGGGTTCCCCAGCTGGTGTTGAAGGTTGGGAGTGAATTGGAGCCCCCCACCACCTCAGGGTTGGGGAGACTCCAATATACCTGCCCCACCATTCAGAGGGGCTGGAAACCACCCAGACTGAACTCCCTTTGCTCCATTTCCCCCCTTCCATTCTAAAAACAGGAACAAGCTGGGAGCTTTACAGATACAAGTTACAAAAGACGCTACATTTTGGAATGTCTTTATCTGATACCTCATGCAATGGGTCATATTTTCACCCAATTGGCTGTTTTTGAAGCTGTCTGCAACCATGCACTTGGGTTTGATCAAAGCTATAGACTGCTTTCTGTGGCCAAATCAGGCAAAAAATGTCACTTTTGTCTGCACCCTTAATTACCCCATCATAAGATAATACTGTCAGTACTGTCTTATGAAGACATGAATTCATTTGCTGCAGCCTAATAGTGTTACACATATAGATGGTGATGCTTTACTCAGCAGCTAATTAGTTTACTTCGCAGTTAAGCGCGCACATGGGTGTGGACACTATATATTATATTGTAACTGACTTATAGCTCAAGTTAAGTTACTATGTCAGTTGTGAATGAATAAAAGTGTGTTCAAAGAGATTTTCATTAATTTAAATAATTTTTAGTTAAACTGGTACAACTCCTGTGTTGAGACACTCCTTAAAGCTATCTCTCAGCCAGTGCTGAATTTTACTTCATTGAATGATTTCCTAATCCTGTCTGGTGTTAATGTCGCACACTGTGGAGTTTCTGCAATTAATATCTCCTGCTTAATTAATTTCAGTGTAGCATATCTTACTATCGAGAGGACATATTTATATTTAGTCCAGATTGTCTTTATTTGAGAGCATGCCATTATTCTCTGTTTTATTTTTATTTTAAAATACGATTTTAAAATCCTGGATGTCCTATCTTTTATGTATCTATTATTATTCTGACCCTATTGAATTGTTGCTTAGCTGAGCTATATGTTTTAATTTTTTTTTCATAAATTACTCTGTCCACTTTCTTAATCTTTTTTTATTGCTGTTCACCATGTCAATTACACAATTTGTCAACAGCCTTCTAGTGATTACGTTTCCAGACAAGGAAAAATAGTTCCAATAGAGTTGCTTAGGAACTTTATAAAGAGGTCCCATCATGTCTTTCTCCTTTGGAATGGGAGTGCTTAATACAAAATTTAAAATTGTATTGTTTTTTAGGACCATAAACTCAAATCTAATTTTTATACTTAAGCCATTCCTTAACTCTATTTCACTATTACTGCTTTCAAGATGTTTTCCTTTTACTGAATATTTGAAAAACTTCAAGTGAAGATCCCACAACTTCTTTAGACAGGGTTTTCATTTTTCAATTGCTCTTCTAGTTGGGAAGTTTTTTCATGAGATTTGATATCAGTTACCTTGCCACAGTTTAAACCCATTGCTCTATGCCCTGTCCTCTGTAGAAAGGGAGAATAATGTTTCTCTACCTTCTGCTTGGCAGCTCCTCAGATATTTGAAAATTGCTATCCTGTCTCTTAAATCTCCCTTTGTCCAAACTAAATAAACCTTGTTCTTTGGTCTTTTTTCACCTGGCTTGCTTTCCAACCTCTTTATCATCTTCATTGCTCACCTCTGGATCCTCTCCAGTTTCTCTGTATTCTTTATAATGCAGTGCTCAAAACTGGACTCCATATTCCAGCTGAGGTGTAACCATTATTGAATAGTGATACCAGTAACATACTTACACTGGATTTTTTTAATGTAAAATTGCATTTGTACTTTCTGTGACTGCATTACATTGCCAAATTCATGTTCAGTTTGTGATTCACTGCAGCTTTCAAATTGTTCTCAGTAGTACAATTGCCAAACTACTTATCCTCCCTATTCCATATTTCAATTCCAGAATATCTCTTGGTACCTTGTTCACATTAGAACTCAGTGTTCAATACCTATATTTCCCGAATAATATTAGTGTGCGTGTGTGTGTGTGTGTGTGTGTGTGTGTGTATGTGTGTGTGTGAACTGAAAAAATGTCACATCTACACTTGTGGAACAGAAAATTTCTTTCAGTATAATTTTTCCTTACAAATGTTTCCCTTCTCCAGTACTATTTTTTTTTCTTGGAGTCTTTTTATATAATATAGGATACTACTTAAAAAAAGTAAGATCAACGTGAATTTTAATTGGTTTAACAGATAGATTAAAAATAAGGTGATTACAATCATATTTGCCTATTTTCTGAAGTGTATATCTCTTAACTTTGCCATGTAGGACAAATTTATTTAAGGACCCTAAGAGAGTGGGTTCTGATCTTCTTTCTTGAGTTTACTAGAGCTTTTACAGTACAGATCCACAGAAGCAAGAAAATGAAATAACAAATGTTTAACTGATTTTCAAAGCGGCTGTGGACCTGCAAATCTTGCTAACTTAAAATGGAATGAAGTGTGAGTTAACATTTCTAGAAATTGGGCTGTCATAGACTGTACATAGAGACAGTGAAATCAACCACACATAATAGTGCCTAATCCACAAATATTTAAAAATAAAGAAAAAGAAAAGAAGGATTCCTTTAAATCTCTTTTATATTTAGTAATTAAAGGTGTTATTTGTAATGATAAGAAAGAAAACATTGTTGCCAAAGAAGCATTTGAGGCTTTCTGGTAAATTATTGTACCTGTCAAAATACAACACACTCGTATTGTGGGTCCTACAATATTAATCCTAAAAGTACCTTCATTTTGTGGGTTTCATCCTCTCTACTATCTGAAATATGTAAATGAAGTAGTAAATGAAAAACTCAAAATTACCAACCAGAGATGATCACAGCTATAATCCACAAGTAAAGTAGGAAAACCCTTAACTTAGTTTATTTACTAGGAAAAAGTAAGACTGATAGCATCTGCTTTAACCCCAAATTAATAATTAAAAAAAACCTAATCAACTAGCCAACCAATCAAACAAGCCAAATAAAAGTGACTGTCTCACAGTTAAGTAGCAAACATCTTGTTTATGTTACTTAACACTTCTGTGTTCTCAGTTTCTGTATTTCTCTACATTTAATGATTTAACAGAGGGGCACATCTCCCTAAATGATAGAAGATTCTGACTTTCAATTGCACTCATCACCGGTGTTGTTGCTTTAGTTGTCTAATAGTTTTCCTTGTAATGACTTTTCCCTA